ATTTGTTCCCTCTTTTGAGCTACTGCATCCATAGGTGTAGGTCAAGTTCATCAAATTGTATCAGGTTACTCTTTTTTTGTCCTCTTCTTTCTTTCTTCTTCTGTTTGAGCTCTGATCATCCAGTCAATGAAGCCAGGTCAAGTGGGTATTATCTGCAAGTGTGGATGTTCTTGTGCATATGCCCTCTCTTCTTATCAGCTGGACCCAACTGATTTTTGTATGTTGACCTCATACCCTGCCATTTCATTGAATCTTCCAATGAGTTCCAGTAGTTTTTTTTTGCTGAGTCTTTGGGGTTTTTAAAAAAAACTTGTTATTATGAATTGGGTGAAGGTTTACAGAGCCTGATCAGTTTTCCATTCAACTGTTAATACATATTGTGTTTCATCTCATTGATCAAAATCCCCTCAATGTAATGTCACTTATCCCACTTCCTCCCTGTGTTTCCTGTTCCCATTCCTCTTTCCTTCCTAACCCTTCTGAACTTTGTCCTTGGATGAATGCTACCCTTTTGATCCCAAATGATTCTAAAGTAACTTACTAGTATTAGTGTTCCCCTTATAAAGCCCCAAGCCACACTTGTCATGTTGTTTCTGGAGGCCCCGGTCTTCCCACCTCTCACCCCATTTCTTGCAAGTCAGGCATCCCAGTGGCCCTTCCTCTAGGCCCCACCCTTCCCAATCCCCACTTCTATCTGTCTCTGAGGTTGGAGGCCTGGGTTCCAGATACTGCATGCGGGGGGTCCAGATGTAAAACTGGAACTCTGCCCCTTCCTGCCACTAAAGGTGGAGTGGTCAGTCAGTCCTGCAGTATAACACGGAGGAAAGCTAAGAGGCATCGAGGGATCGCACTGAAGTCCAGGAAGGTTAAGTGATTGGTCTGAAGTCACATAACCAGTGAATGGGGAAGTTGGATTTTGAACCCAGATCTGTCTGGTTTTGAGGCATGTGTTCTTCCTGCTGCCTCTTGCATTCTACCCAGGAACTGTTTGCAGTCCCTGCATATGTATGGTCCCCTCCTTCCCACCACATGGACCCTACTCAGTACAGGCTGCTGCCCTAGGCGCCTCCTTGGCCTCCCTGCCTCCAGCCCTACCCCTTCCATCTGTTCCATCACTGTTCGTAGGTTAGTTCCCTGCTCCGTGTGTTGGGAATACCCTAGATTACTCCTGCTCCTCCAGAAAGCCATCATGAATCCCCACATTCTGAGTCTTAGTTTTCTCATCAATAAACATGAAGCTGAAATCGATCATCTCCAGGGCTTTCCTGAGGAGCCTTGATGGCATAGTGTTAAGAACTCAGCTGAAAACGGAAAGTTTGGCGATCTAGTTCACTAAAGATGACAGCCTTGGAAGCCCTGTGGGGCAGTTCTGCCCTGTCCTTTAGGGTTCCTATGAGTCAGAATGGACTCTACAGCAAGAGGGCTTTTTTGGTTGGACTTTCCCGTCTCTGGCATTTTGGGACTCCTCAGTCCACACAGCTGTGGGCACATGTTTACTGTGTGTCCCTGCTCCAGGGCACTGCTGTTCCATCCCCAACTTCATCCCAGTAAAACACCCCTTCTCTGAATTTACCCTTCAGCCCTGCTAAAGGGATTGCTAATCTGAGCAGATGGTTTTCACTAGACTGAAGAACTGATAGCAATAGAAGGATACTTGAATTTTATAGGGATCTTCAATGTCTTCTTTTCCCATAAGAAGGATTCAGGAAGAAATACAGTTCGTGGCAGGCTCATGGTTTGGTGACCTTTGAAATGGGAGAGACAGGGAGCAAAGGACTTAGTTTCAGTACCTTTGAGTTTAAACCCTGCTTCTCCACAGACTACCTGTGAGACCTTGAGCAGGCCTCTGCCCTTCTCAGAGCCCATTTTCCCATCTGTATAATGGGCATAATAGTTCCACCCACCCAAGGACACTTTGCACCTACAATAGATAGAGTCCTTGAGGGAAATGCTTGATGCATAGGAGCTGAGTAGGTGACAGCCAATTGTTCCCTCTACATACAGGTCAAATGCTTACTTTGTTTCCTATGGTTAAGTTCGAGACTGCTAACCAAAAGGTAGGCAGTTTGAACCCACCAGCAACTGAGGGAGAAAGGTGTGCTGATTTACCTCTAAAAATTATAGCCAAGAAAACCCTATGGGGCAGTTCTACTCTTTGGGGTTGTTATGAGCTGAAATTGACCACAATGCCCTTAGAGAAACTCATGATTTAAAACCACAACGCCCTGGGGAACTGAGCCTAGGCCCATGACTGGGGAAGGCTGAGAAATGTGGGGGCTCACCACATCCTTCCCCCTCCCCAGGCAATGCAACAAGACTTCTAACGGTAGTGACAGCTGTGACCTCATGTGCTGTGGGCGAGGCTACAACCCCTACACAGACCGCGTGGTCGAGCGCTGCCATTGCAAGTACCACTGGTGCTGCTACGTCACCTGCCGGAAGTGTGAGCGCACGGTGGAGCGCTACGTCTGCAAGTGAGGCCCCAGACCTACTCCCCAGCACAGGAACACGGACTCCCCCGGGAAATCCTTGGTGGACCGGACAAGGCCTGGAGAGACCTAGATTCTTGCTTTTAAACTCCAGATAGGGGTGCAGGCGGCGCCTTGGAAGCCACCAGGAGAAGCAGACCGGAGGGCTAGGACTTCAAAGGAAATTAACAAGATTAAAAATAACGTGGCAGCTGAGTCCAAAGGCAGGAGTGTCCACACAGCTGCCTTCCAGGCTGGTTTAAGAAGCCGGTGGCATTAGTTTGGCGGAGACTGGTATGGACTTGACCTTTCACGGCCAGAGAGACCAACTTCTCAAGGAGTGTTTTGCAGGCCCAGCCCCCAAGCGCCCTTCTCCCTCACTGGTTGCCAGAGCACCTATCTATCCACCCACCCCTGGGTCTGCGCCTGCTGGGCCCCACCACATGGAACCACTAGCTTGGGTTGTAAATGTTTTTTTGTTGTTGTGTTTTTGGTTGTTTTTCCTCTGGGATGTGGGAGCTACAGAAATATTTATAAAACATAGCTTTTTCTTTGGGGTGGCTTGCCTCAATTCCTCTTTATATATTATATATAAATATATATATATATAAATATATATAATGATCTATATTTTAAACAAGCTTTTTAAAACAGCTGTAAGAAATAAATGCTGAGAAAACCCCAGCCCACCCCTGCAGTTTCTGGCCTCCTCAAGTGAACTCAGAAGATCCTGGGGCTGGCGGGAAGAAGGCCCTGGAGGACTATGGATGTGCCTCTCTGCTCCCCCCCACCCCTACTCCCACCCCACCCTAGTCTCCTGTAAGATCTCTTGGTCAGGGGCGAGGACAGAAGTCTTCAAACATAAACCCAGCTGGCAGATTCTTTGTTCCTCAGGGACACACATGCAGAGCCCGGTCATGCTGTCTGACCTGCTAAACCAGCTTCCAGAGGACCCCCCACCACCCCCAATCCCCTCTCTCCAGACAGGGCACACAGACCTCAGGAAGTGGCAGACCCAGGCTGTAGGCTTTCTGCCTTCTCAGGTCTGTTTCCCCATTTGTAAAATAGGGGTGATGATAAAGAAGGTGGGTGGCTGGGAAAAGCTCTCCCTGTGCCTGCACTGGCCGTGGTGCAAGTGGTGAAAACCAGTTAGGTTCTTGTTGTTCGGAAGGTTGACCCAGCAGGATTTGTTCTCTTGGATGTGGGGTGAGAGGGAAGGGGGATCCAGAAGGACTGCAAGGCTTTTGGCCAGAGCATGTGGAAGGGCTGTCTGCAGAGATGAAGGTGGAGCGTTTTCTAAGGGTGGAGTTGGACTCAGATTTGAACACATGGTGATGGATGCTGTGAGGCTCCCAGTGGAAATACTGAGTAGGTGTGTGGAGATTGGAGTCTGCAGTTCTGGGGAAAGACCAGGTAGGGAGACACATGTGGTGTCATCACTGAGGGAGTTAGTTGGGTAGAAAAGTGAAGACAACTGAGGCCTGCACATTTCCAGGGGGTCTGGAGAAGAGGAACTGTCAAAGGAGACCGGTAACCCCCAGGGAGGTGGGATTCCTGATAGCCCAGTCAAGACAGGTCTCATGGGCACAGAGTCACTGCCCCTCTCTGAACCTCAGCTGTGCCTCCTGGCATGTGGGAACAATAACGAACTAATGAGGGGGCCTTCAGTGCCAGGCACAAGGGCACCCCAGAAAGTGGAAGTAGTTATCTATCATGTTTTTGTACGATCTTGGGGTAATCACACAGACAAAAAGATGCAAGAAAACATTATAAACTAGATTTCTGTGTCAATGTGAACAGACACTAATGCTGAGGGGGAGGGGTCTCCTCCCCAGAGCCAGCTAAGGACATGGATACCTGATGCTGATGGAATGCTGGGTTAAGCATTAGGCTGCTAACCATAAGGTGGGGGCTTCAAACCCACTGTTGCTCCTCAGGAGAAAGATGAGGCCACCTGGTCTCATAAATATTTACAGTCTTGGAAACCCTAAGAATCAGTTCTACTTGACTGCAGTGTGGTAGAGGCACAGAGGAGCCTGGACAGGATTCAGGCTGGTGAAACTTGCATTCCTTGGGGGGAGGATGGCATGGACCAACTTCAAGAGGCTGGACTGGGGACACATGGGAAAGGAGGGTTTTGCAGCCATGCCTACAGTCTCACAGTGGAAAACCATGGGCTGAAAGGTCACAGGGCAGGTCTTCTGGTCTCCCTTTACTCTGCTAGGCAGATGAGGAAATTCAGAGACTGGAAGGGCCTTTTCTGTGGTCACAGCTGATAAAAGAGTCTGGGGAGGTGGGTGGAGGGGTGTGGGACCTCCTGGGGCACAGCTCCACCAGCATCTGTGCAGCAAGCTCTTAGTGACTGTCTTCCAAGTCTCTGGAACAATCCCTAGAGTGAATGAGCTTCCAGAGCCGGACCTCCACTGCTCCATAGCCTTCATTACCTTCCCAGGGCCCACAAACCCAGTCCCAAGTACATCCAAGTCCTCTTCCCCCAGAGCCCAGCTAATTTTTCTAGCCACATTACCTGAGACTCCCCAGTTGTCCTCTCTGCTTCAGCCACAGACATACCACTCCCCAATACTAGAACCAGACTGCTGGGGTCCCTCTGGGCCTATGCGGTCCCCTCTGCCTGGAATGCTGGTGTTGGAATCCCACCCAGTCCTCGCAGGCCCACTCCACAAACCTTCCCGGGTGGAAGTGATTCCCACAGCCCTTTGACCCTTTTAAGCAGTTACCGCACTCGCTCACCAGAAGTTGATGCCCATTACCCCCTCAGGACCCTGATGAAGGGCCTCCTTCCCTGGCCACCCGGGGCCTGGGCCCAGGGCCTCCTCTGGGTTCACACTGTGCCATGTTCTGCTCTGAGGCCACAATGAGCAGAGGTGTGGAGGAGGTCTGCATCCCCAGCTCCCAGGCCCTGCCAGGCAGATGGAGGAGGCAGATTCAGATGATAACAGACCTCCTCGTATTTGGGGGTTGACTTTGGACTTTAATCAGACAAATGGGGTCACCAGACCCAGAACCCAGATTGGCTTTCAGAAAGAGTGGACATAAAAATAAAACTGCTGCCATCGATTGTGCACCTACTGTGTGCTGTTTCATGCCCTCTCCCCTCCCCCCACCCCCAACAGTAGACACTGTTATCACAGTTAACAGATGATGAGGACTCCAAGGTTCTGGGAAAAGAGGTGTCTTGGCCCAGATCCCACGGGAAGTTCACAGCAGAACGGGCTTGGAGCCCACGTTTGTCTGACACCAAACTCTGCTCCTTCAGACAAAGCCTCCTCGCTCCAGCTCGGCATGGGGAAGAGCAATATGGAAGGCAGAAGATTGCTTGAAGACCGGGGAGCCTGAGCCGGGAGGGAAGGCCTTCAGGCTTAGGACAGAAGAACACTCAGTGGGCCTGGGGACTATGACCATGCTCTGCACCTTTCTGGATGACCAGGGACTAGGCAACCAAGGGCAAGTGAAGGACTTGTTGCTAAATGCTATCAAGTTAATTTCAACTCATAACGACCCTGTATAAGTTTCCCAAGGAGTGGCTGGTGGGTTTGAACCGCTGACCTCGCAATTAGCAGTCCAGTGCTTCTCCTACAATGCCACACCGGGAGTCTTGTTAAGGGTCCTTTAGTCACTTCTGACTCATAGTGACCCTGTAGAGGGTTACTGAGGAGCGGCTGGTGAGTTTGAACTACCCACCTTTCCGTCCTCACCTTACCAAGTCAGAGTTCTAAGAATGTAGGACCCCACTTAGGTGAGATAGGGGGTACAACCTTTTCAAGTGTGAAATCTTTGGGCCCCAGGGACTCCCAGATTCTCAGTATCTCATTGTGATCAGAGATGGAAAATAATATCTTGATGTTTTAAAATTTTTTAGGGTGAAACTCCTTAAACCATTGCATCAGAAGCCCTGTTGATTCCTCCCAGGCCAATAATCAACCCAAAGTGTCAGAAAGGCCTGGCATTGATCCAAGGGATCTGAATCCTTTTCACTAGTAGGACTCCTGACCCAGGCTGGGCAACATCCCCAGACAGGGCTCTGTGGGGTCTGGACACTCCCTAGTGATGATGGAACTGGCTGCTTTGAGGAGGCTTCTGTACCAAGTGTGGGAGGCAGCTGGAGACACAGGACAGAAGGGCCGGGGGAGAGAGACAAGAAGGCGGCAGAGAGGAAACAGGAACTCTTGAAAACAGGGCAAGATTAGTTTGGTGGGAAAGGAGAGACTGGACAGATAAGTCCCCCGGGGGAGGCCTGGTTGAAGCCAGAGGAAAAAGTGAGGGGTCTAGGGCCAGGTCTCAGCAAGCTGATGGTTTGTTGTTCCTGAGGTCACGGAGACCAGCAGCCAGGTTGCACAGAGCAGGTCTCTGGCAGGATGCAGGCCCCAGCCCAGCACCCCAGACCAAGGAGGGGCTACAGAGTAAGGGAACTTTTTGTCTGGGAGGCAGGAACCCAGTATCTATTCCACTCTTTTGCTGTGTGACTTCTAGCAGGCATTGAACAAGACAAATGGTTGTCTTGTTTAATCCTCATAACTATTCTGAGGGGCAAGGTCCAGTATCTGTATTTTATTGATGAGGACATTGAAACTCAGAGAGGGTTTCAACTGGCCTAGGGTTGCAAAGCGAGAGTGGCAGAGCCAGAATTCCAATTCCAGATCTCCTGGCTCCAAATCCTGAACCTGTTCTCTACCTCAATAGTGGGTGTCTGAGGAATGGAGGGGGCCTCTAGGTAGAGCAGATGGCTGATGCTGTGATCTGGTTGACTGCACAGGGTTAATATGGCGCTGTGGGTTAATATGCTGGACTGCAAAGTCGGTTTGAACGGAAAGATCTGCAGTTCAAGCTCGCCAGTTGCTCCTTAGAAACCCTAAACAGGGTCGCTATGGGTTGGAACTGACTCGACAGCACTTAACAATGATCGTGCTATAGGATAAGCACTGGACTGTGAACCACAAGGTCAGCAGCTCAGATCTACCAGTTGAGTTGGAACCTACTCGATGGCACTTTACAATAACAACAATCCGTGACCTCTGCCTCAGGGACTG